AGCCGTAGGACACGGGGGCGGCGGCGTAGCCGACGGGGGCGCCGATCAGACCGGCGTTGGCCACGGCCAGGGCGGCGGCGAGGACGACGAGCTGCAAAGGAAAAATTAAGTCAGTTAATATTGTGAAAGATGCACAGAATGGTCGCCCTAGGCTCAGGGCTCAGGTACTGACGTGCACCTGTCTTACGCCCTTGGCAGAACGGTTACATCTGGGCAAGTGCGAACTCACCTTGAAGGCCATTGTGTTTGGGGGTTGGGAGCGGGTGCTCAAAGTGGAGAGATAGGCGGAGTGTGTTTGATCGAATGATGCCCTGCCGATGCGCTCGTCAGCTTATATACCAACCTCGTCTCCCCTCCATCCGCACCCGCTACTTCCCCCACCCGCGGGCGGTTAAACGGAAGTAATCGGAGAGATCACAGTTCAGTGTTGAGGATACAGAACAGGGTTCCAAGCACCTAATTTCTGTGCCACGAGACATTATGACATATGAAGACGTGCCGGGGGTAGAAAACAATTATCTGATTATGATTTAATAGGTTTGGTGTAATGGGTGTTTGGTCACGGTGCGCGCTGGTTTGTCTACTCTCTCTGCCTGTAAGGTGACATAGCGCCTGAAGCTGGGTGGCATAGGCCAAGCCGCCGTGCAGACGTGTACACACTAGCTGCCGTGTTGCCTACCAACCAGGCGGTCCAATGGCTAGCACATACTTGTACCAGGTGGCTGACTCACGCCGCGCGTTCTCGTAGTTCTACAGTACCGAATGCACGCGTGCCGGCGGGTTGGCTATTCGAACGGGGCCCTAAGGAGCCGTGGGCAGCGAGGATATGATATGCTAAACCCCTCGCACCAGCGCATGCGGTGCAGCATAACTACGAAGGTGCGCGGCGTGAGGCAGCCACCTGGTACAATCTGCAACTTAAATCTGTTCAAAATTGGAGACATATGTTTTTACCCTTTACCGCGCGCCGGTGTTTGTGTATAACTTTAAGTGGAGACAACGATTATGATTATCGAAGGCATTTCTTATCGTACAAGCACGAAACTCTCTCTAAACTGTGGTGAAGTAAGTGGAGTGTGGTTGGTGTTTTTTTTGTTTTTTTGTTGTTGTTTTTTTGGTTGTTGCTTTTTTTTTATTTTCGTCCTCTCTGCTTGCTTCCACTGAAGCCGCAACAAGCCCCCTACGGATCCGGTGTGAGTCAGAACGCCCTGTCACCTGTCATGTAGAACGGCATTATGCTAACGCGACTGGGGACAATTTCCAGTGCTGCTCTAACGACTGCCACAGCTTTGTGTGACAATGAAGACTCTTTTCTTTTTCGAATACGACCTCAGTCAACAGAAGTAACTCCCTAACATTTATTGTGCAGGTGGTTCAGACAGAGGGGTGCAAAAAGGACATGCTGTAGGGCAATTATAAACGTCAACTCAATATCAGCCATCATGCTTCTCGAGAAGATTCGAATAAAACAAGGTAGACGCACGTTAAAACCGTGTGAAGCTGAGCTAAATGTGCGTCTACCTTGGCCTGCGGCGCGCTAAAATGGAAATGTTTTCGCGATTTTGGTTGGCATGGGCATGCCTGTCCACCTCACATCCCACGTCTCACGTCAGGCGCGTCACTTCACGCCATCTTCCGGGCGGTCTCCCCTTGCGCTTCCTGACAGAGCTGAGCATTTAAAGTTAAAGTTCAATTTCAAGTTCAAGTTAAGCTCAGCAATAAGTCAAGAACGCAAAGACTTAGTAACGAACTGCAGTTTAAGATAAACGAGTCTCCATGTGAGGGCCGTGGAGGGCGCCCAAGAAATTGGCAAGCTCGCTCTCACGAGAGAAGCCTTCAAGGTGGAAGGGAAATAGAGAGCGCGCGGGGGTCTTGTGGGTGCTGGTGCTGGCGCTGGCGGGCTGTCCGGTCCTGGTCCTGGCCTGGCCCCGGGTGGGGGTCGCGAAGGATAGCTGGGGTAGCGGCTGGGGCGGGCGCGGGGAGTGGGGGCCGGCGAGGACCACAGCTTGGGAAGAGGGGCCCAGCCTGCCACCGGGAGCCGTATAAAAGCAACCGCTATCAGCCGAACGGACATCACTCGATCCGCACCTCTCAATCCGAGCCAACAACTCCCCCACAAAAACCACCCTCCAAAATGGCATTCAAGGTAAGCAACGTGTGACCGCCACGATTGATAAGATTTAAGTGTTTCTGCTCTCTTCTTGGAGGCGAATGGCATAAAACAAAATTCTTGGCGTCATTCAACTTCGTGGAGACGAAAAGTACTTAGTACCGAAGCACAAAAGCGGCACCAGTTAAGACGAACCACTTCTCCCGTTGCAGCTCGTCGTCCTCGCCGCCGCCCTGGCCGTGGCCAACGCCGGTCTGATCGGCGCCCCCGTCGCCTACTCCTCCCCCGTGGCGTACGCCAGCCCCGCCATCGGCTCCTCCCACGAGAGCACCGTGCGCTCCCTGGACGGCAACTCCGCCGTGACCACCTACTCCAAGGCTGTGGACACCGCCTTCTCCAGCGTGCGCAAGTACGACAGCCGTGCCAGCAACGACGCCCAGATCCTCGCCCACGCCCCCGTCGCCGCCTACGCCGCCGCCCCCGCCTACACCTCGTACGCCGCCCCCGCTGCCTACGCTGCCCACTCCTACGCCGCCCCCGTTGCCCACGCCTACGCCCCCGCTGCCTACGCCGCCCCCATCGCTAAGGCCTACGCCGCTCCCGCCTACGCCGCTGCCCCCGTCGCCCACGCTGGTCTCCTCGGCGTTGCCTACTCCGCTGCCCCCGTGGTCTCCCACATGACCTACACCAGCGGCCCCATCGCCTACGCCTACTAAGCGCCCGGCGCTTCCTCTATCTAGTCAGCATCCGAGACATCCACCTACACAGTATTTATTTACATCCACACCAATTGACTTCGTCAAGTCCCGACTGAGGCCCGCCGAGGCACCATGACCTACGCGGCCATAAACTGTACATGACCTACTTTTGAAGTTTGGTCCTTATTTATTTGAAAATAAAAAAAACATGATATAAGCAAACATTTTTGTCATGACTTTTTTAAACTTTAAAAAGGAGCCTTGAGACTCCCAGGAAATCCAGTGGATGCCCTGATAACAAGCATAAATATCCAGAGAAGGTACTGAAAACCCCAGGACGGTATTCCCTGCCCCTCTCCCCCTGAAATGAAGAAAAATCTTGGGCATCCTAGGTCTTTTTTACTGTGTAAGTACACGACACCTGGTGCCCTAAATGTATCCGCAATTGAATGAAGCACTTTCGCTCACCACAGCCCTAGTATTTTTGCATCGTAACATGAACACCGATTCTATCCGTCGACCTCACCGACCTCTGTTACCAGAAAACCCCTTTCTTTCACTGCAATCTTAATGCTCCCCCCCCCCCATCTTCTCGTTCGATATCGACCGCGGCCGTCGTGCAGGTGTTGCTCGTGGCCTCGGCTGAGGTCCTCCGGTCAACGCTCTGCAAAAGGAAGGCAGTGGCGACGGCCGAGGCCTTGGGGGAGCTCGAGGCCGGGTCCGGCCGGCTCCAAGGCATCCACTCGGCAGACGCTGTGTGGGAATCAAGGGCTGGGCCGCCCCTGTCGCCTCCGGAGGGAGAAAAGAAAAGAGGTAAGAAGGAAGTGGAAGGCAGACGTGCAGACAGCCAAGGACGGCGAGATGCCCGCCCGGTCCGGCCCTGCCCGCCCCGCCCTACCCGCTGCACTTGGCAGGGCTCCTCCCTTTGTCTCACTTATTTCTCGGTCTTTACGAGAATATTTCTTTTCCTTTTTGAAAACGGTGAAAAGGGGAATAAAAACAGTGCGACGCGGCACTTTGTGGCCCTGCTGCTGCTTGTTTCGCCGGTGATCATCATACCGTCTACCGTCTGCCGCCAGTTTCGCTGGTATCTCATCCGAAAAAAACAACAGAATTTCCAATAAACTATTTGTTTTAAACTTGTCCACAAAATTTACACTTTGAATGAAGCCTTTAAATCAAAAACCGTGTGATGCAGGGCCGATGTTTCCTCCGGTTATACTGCACTGGACGGAGGGGTGCGAGTGGGCTTGTCTAACGTCGCTCACCGAGGAAGTTCGCAACCCGTCTGCACGCCTGAAGAAAGAACGGTGCTGAGAGACCACCCCGTAGAGCACTACATTTAATATTCAGCGGCAGAAAAACAAAACCCGGGAGGAAGAAAAGGCACAAAACTCCTCCATGTAATGCATTTCACATTACACATGTGATGTGCAAAGATACTTTATCGTCTCTGGCACACACAGTATTGTATTCATTTGAACCTCCTTTGATTGGCATATTGAGATGTCTTACATAGGCTAGGCTGATTCTTGGAGCGAAGAAGGCAGAGTACGAGCAAATAGGCACAAATAATGATTGAAATAGGCAGGATTCAGTAACGCTTATTTATTAGCGCATTATTTAAACAAATAAATAAATAAAAATAAATAAGGTCACAATATCACAATCTAGTAGGCGTAGGTGATGGGGCCGCTGGTGTAGGTCATGTGGGAGACCACGGGGGCAGCGGAGTAGGCAACGCCGAGGAGACCAGCGTGGGCGACGGGGGCAGCGGCGTAGGCGGGAGCGGCGTAGGCCTTAGCGATGGGGGCGGCGTACGCAGCGGGGGCGGCGTAGGCCTTAGCGATGGGGGCGGCGTACGCAGCGGGGGCGGCGTAGGCAGCGGGGGCGTAGGCGTGGGCAACGGGGGCGGCGTAGGCCTTAGCAATAGGGGCGGCGTACGCAGCGGGGGCGGCGTAGGAGTGGGCAGCGTAGGCAGCGGGGGCGGCGTACGAGGTGTAGGCGGGGGCGGCGGCGTAGGCGGCGACGGGGGCGTGGGCGAGGATCTGGGCGTCGTTGCTCACACGGACGTCAGAGCGGGACACGCTGGAGAAGGGGGTCTGGATGGTCTTCTGCTCGTAGGAGGTCTGGCCCTGGTTGCCGAAGGTCCTCAGGGTGTTGGAGGACTGGGAGGTGAGGGTGGGGGTGCCGACGGCCACGGGGGCAGCGGCGTAGCCGTAGGACACGGGGGCGGCGGCGTAGCCGACGGGGGCGCCGATCAGACCGGCGTTGGCCACGGCCAGGGCGGCGGCGAGGACGACGAGCTACAAAGGAAAAATTAAAATAACAACAATTATAATTTTGAGAGATACGCTGAATGGTCGCCCGGGGCTGTGGTACTCAGAAGCACCTGTCTCATCAAGCCCTTCGACAGACGGTCACATCAGGGCAGGTGTGGACTCACCTTGAAGGCCATTGTAAAGTGAGGAGTTGAGCGGTGCTCGTGAGTTGCTTGGGTTGAATGTGTTGATCGAATGATACTTGGACAATCGGGGCCCGTGCTTTTATACTGATACACTTTGGTCCTGTCTCCCCCCTTGCGACCCGTGGGTGCCGTGCAGGGCCCCGCGACTGTTGTCCCCCTCCCTATGCCCCCCTCTCTGCCCCCCTGCCGCGGTCCACCCCACCCGCCTCGACTCCCACCCCCTCCCCTCACCGCGACACCTCGCCGTCAGCCTCAGCTTGAGCTCGCTGGCCAATGACATGGCGTGAGAAAGGAGTCGATACTTGAGTCCACAATACCAGTGTGCGGTAAACCAAACCAAAGCTCGGCTGGAAGGAGGACCTGATCTGGAAGGGCGCATCTTTCTTGCATGCATATTCTTATAAAGCACCCGCGCATTTCACAAACTAGTATGCTACCTCCTGCGAGTTGGGGGGAAGGGGGGAGGGGGAGGCGACAGGCCACGTTGTTTCCTTGGCCCCGACCAAGCGAGTGAGTTTTTAAATGGTCACTTTGAAACCGACTGCGGCAACTGATCAAAGTGGACAGTGCCCTCCTTACAGAAACCACAACACGCCCCACAAGAAAAAGATAATCAACACTCTGGGACGCGTAAAGTTCAGCACCAAAAATGCAGTGATTGAAATGCATTGAATAAAAGGAGTAACAACATCAATTGATTCGTTATGAGCTCGAACTCATCTAGGTAGCTAATGTTAGCCTTAACTTATCCCTCTCTCTTAGAACTTGGCCGTCAGGACGAGGACGAGCGTTTCCCACACCTTATATCTCATCCTGTTATTGAATTTGTGAAGACTTTGTCAGTATTCCTGCTGTTTTAGAACATTTATAAGCTACTGACAATTTGTATTTATCAGTTATTCGAAATATCTCCTCTCTTTGCACTGCTGACAATTTCTACTTTTCTCAGGAAGGCACTTACGAAAATGTACACATATATAATCAGTCACAAATTAGTCCGTAACCTGATGCCTAAAAAAACGTCGGTAGTTTAGTAGGAAATAAATCACAGTGCAGGTCTGAAAGTGCAGCAGCGTTCCCTCAAAGTCTCGAAGGGTATGCGCCGGGCAGTGTCATGCGGCGCGACGCGCGACATTTCCGGGAGGCATGTCCAGTGGCCACGGCGGGGCGGTCGAAGCATACCCCGGTGGCCCCGCCGGCCGCTGGCCATTCCAGCGGACGGGCCCGGGGCCCGCGGCCCGCGGCCTGGGGCTGCAGCTCGCCGCCGGCTCTGGACCGCCCGGAATATCAGGGTCAAGGGTGTAAAGTGTCTGGACGCAGCTGAATGGGCGTGGTGGGGTGTGGCCGAAAGGGGGCGGGGCGGGGTGTGGTGGGGCAGGGCGGGGCGAGCTGGACGGGGCGGGGGCTCCTCTCCGCCGAATACGTAGAACGCAGCAGCGGACGCATTGGAGAAAGGGGTGGCGGTGGCACTATCTGCGCTATTCGCCCACTCCATTCTAGAATGTTCGCGTCAGGGAGGAAACAGTTCAGGAAGCATTCACTGTTCTTGTTTGGATCCTTGTTTAACACTTTCCGTGCGACGGGTCCACACCCGTGGACCCGCAAAAATAGTCCCTTCCGTGCGGCGGGTCCACATTGTGGACCCGGGTCCACACGGGTGGACCCGTCGCAAATCTTCCCCGTAGTGCCAAGGGCCTAACCGAGTATTCTATTAGGTTTCAGAGCAAAAAAAATTTTTTCGAAAAAAAAAAAACCCTCCGCCTGTGGATAGGTGCTCTTTAAAAGGGCCCCGCACGGAGAGTGTTAAACTGGGTGACGTACCTTATTTTCTATCAAAATGTCGGTAACACTATCTGCTGGGTGTATGCACACGCATACCAAAGGACGCTTCCAGATTTGCTGTGTGTGTGTGTGTGTGTGTGTGTGTGTGTGTGTGTGTGTGTGTGTGTGTGTGTGTGTGAGAGAGAGAATGTGAGTGCCAGAAAGACAAGCCATATCGGCCGAAACACGGTGACAAGTCGGTACGATCCTGCGACCGCGTGATCATCCGAGTCAGTGATAATAATCATTGGCAGTTGATCAAATTTGGCAGTGTGGCGCGACGGACCCGTGGGAGTGACGCTAGGGCAGAAAGGCGGGCTGCCCCGCACAGCGCCACGCCGTGCCGTGCCACGCTCGGGCTTTTGCCGGAGCGGAAGGCCGACAGCCAGGCGCGCGCGGACAAAAAAATAAAAATAAAATAAAAACTCTTCATGATCCATGCGGTGCGGAGCTCGCGATGCAAGCCGGGCGCGTTTGGCACATCGAGATCACACAGCCAAGATTTCTTTGCAGGATTCCCTAGGTTGTCCAACCTTCCTGGAGGACCGCGAATGCGCAGTCATTATTAGAGTTCCGAGAGAAGGCAAGAAGAGATATGTATTCCGCCACGGGCGCGCTGCTGGACACGGCAGCAGCAGGCGGCTGAGGTGGCCACTTATTTACGGAAGAGAACAGCGGCAGCGTTTAATTATAAGGCCACTCGGAAGGAAGTGGGGGCGTGGCGGGGCGTGGCGGGGCGTGGCGGGGCGCGCCTGGGCGCTGCCGCCGGCCCTGCGGCTGACAATAACGCGACGTCCGGATCATTTGTAGCAATAAACGTAATTTTTCAACGGCGCCCGCCGCCCGCCTCCTGCCGCCACGCCACCACGCCACGCCACCGCGGCACGACCCTTCTCACACTCACACACGTGTGACCGCGTGACCCCACCGGCTGCGGCTGCCCCGCGGGCTGCCCCCGGAGCGGTCAAGGCCAATCAACAGTGATGGGCGTGGCCGTCCAGCAGTTCGAGACCCGCGGTGAGGCGAACGGCAGCGCCCCGTGCGGCGGCGGCGGCCCGGCCCGCTCCTCTGCTCCACCAAGCAGCCCGCGCTCAGCTCCAGGCGGGCGGGTGGGCATAGCGTGGAGGTAGGTCGGCATGTGGGAGACCACGGGGGCAGCGGAGTAGGCGACACCCAGAGGGGCGGCAACCTTAGCGACGGGGGCGGCGTAGGCAGCGTGGGCGACGGGGGCAGCGTACGCAGCGGGGGCGGCGTAGGCGTGGGCGACGGGGGCGGCGTAGGAGGTGTAGGCGGGGGCGGCGGCGTAGGCGGCGACGGGGGCGTGGGCGAGGATCTGGGCGTCGTTGCTCACACGGACGTCAGAGCGGGACACGCTGGAGAAGGGGGTCTGGATGGT